GGTGGAGGGTTCACACTGGCTGAGGGTCTGGCCCATCAGTGCTGGCTTTTGGGGTGCTATATTCCAGCACGGCGAGCGGGCACACACTGGACACATAAATCACCTGGACAACATGTATGTGGGGCTTCCTTTCTGCTGAGCTGGGTCAGCACGGTTCTGCTGCGTAACTAGGTTTGGCTCTGCTGAGCCGGTAGTTTCCACCCTGATTCCCCATCTCGCCATCAGGATGTTTTTTCTGCTACTCAGCCAGAACTTTCTTGGGCTTCCTTGGCTGGGGTGTGGAGCTGTGGGATAAGAACATAAGAACGGCCAGATTGGGTCAGACCAAGGGTCTATCTATCCCAGTAGCCTGTCTCTGGCAGTGGCTGGTGCCAGATGCTTCAGAGGGAATGACCAGAACAGGGACAATTATGGAGTGATCCATCCCCTGTTGTACAGTCCCAACTTCTGGCAGTCAGAGGTTTAGGGACACCCAGAACACGGGGTTGCGTCCCTGACCATCTTGGCTAATAGCCACTGATGGACCCGTCCTCCAGGAGCCTAGCTCATTCTTGTTTTGAGCCCAGTTATACTTCCTTCACAACATCCCCTGGCAAGGAGTTCCACAGGTTGACAGTGCATTGGGTGAAGTAGCACTTCCTTTTGTTTGTTTTAAACCTGCTGCCTATTATTTTTTGGGGGTGACCTCTCGTTTGTGTGTAATATGAAGAGGTAAATAACTCTTCCCACTTCATTTTCTCCACACCAGTCATAGTTTTATAGACTTTGTTCATATCCCCCCCTCGATTGTCTCTTTTCCAAGCTAAACAGTTCCCGTTTTTTTAATCTCTCCTCACATGGATCATTTAATCATTTTTGTTGCCCGTCTCTGTACTTTTCCCAGTTCTAATATCTCTTTTGCTGACATGGGGGTGACCAGAATGGCACGCAGTATCCCAGGTGTGGGCACACCCTGGATAGCAAAGGGATGGCTCCAGGACCTGATCACCCCCTGGACAAAAGTGGTGCGTAGAACAGGCTCTGGCCCGGTAAAGGGGTTGTAAATTATGCTCAATTTAAGGCCTCTTCATGCAGCCCAGGAGGCCAGAGCCTGAATGAGAATTGGGCTCCAAATTCTTTTCATGTCTCCCCATCAATCAATCCAGCTCTTGGCGCACCTTGACTGGAGGGATAGCTCAGTGGTTTGAGCATTGGTTTACTAAACCCCCAGTTATAAGTTCAATCCTTGAGGGGGCTATTTAAGGATCTGGGGCAAAAATCTGTCTGGGGATTGGTCCTGCTTTGAGCAGGGGGTTGGACTAGATACCTCCTGAGGTCCCTTCCAACCCTGATATTCTATGATTCTGGTCACAAAGTGTGACAGCCACAGAGTAAGGGGCTCAGAGCTGGGTACCAGACCCAAGTGGGAGGGTCTGCTTAAAGCCAGATGGGGCAGGAGGGACACTGCTCCAGCATGGGAGGGCTCTTGGTGGCCCCCAAACAGCATCAACATTTTCCGTCACTGGATCACATCCAAACGGCCGCCCACTCCCCCCAAGGGGGCTTTTTCTGGGCCAGGCCTCCTGGGGGATGTCCCCTCCCACAGAGCAGGCTGCGTCTAAGACTATTTTCCTTTTGACTCTAGTTTACTAAGAGGAAACTCATTTTGGAATTTTTCATTCGTCCAACCAAAGTTGGTGCCTCGGTTTTCCCCAGTTGGTCAGCTCTGACGCTGACCTTGGCAGGTCTCCCCTAACTCTGGGCCTGTTTCCACTCCCACCCTTTGTCCATGTTGACTGTGAGATCTTTGGAGCTGTCTATGTGTGTGCGGCCCGCGGAGCAGCAGGGCCCCAGATCTGAGAGTGTGTACACGTGTGTGTAGGCACCCGCGTGTGCAGAGCCCAGCACGACGGGTCCCTGATCTCGGTCACTGTGTGTCCGGGCAGCATTCGACACAACGCAGCCCCGATCTCGATCACTGTGTGTCTGGGCAGGATCCACCAGATGGGACCCCGATCTCAGCTGGGGGTTTTCGGTGTTACCGTAATCCACTTAATAAATAAGACTCGTATTTCTGGATCTCTCTATTTTACCGTATATGTCAGATGGCCCAATGAATCCATTAAATCTGACTATAAAAATTGTCTGGAGCCCATGGAAGCACCACACCATGGCTGCTGATGCTGAGGCTGGGAATCTGTCTCCAGACCAGGGCAGGTATTTGCTGACTCACCCCCTTCCCCCATGGCTGAGTGGGGAGAGGCTCTCTGGGTCCCTGGGTACCACAGGACCCCCCCCCCCCCATGATTAGGCACAGCTGAGCCTGGCACAAAGAGTGCTTAGTCTGGATTCTCAGGCACCTTCCTCCCCCCCACTCCCGCCACCATCAAAGAGCAGGGTGCTGGGAGCCTCCTCTGTGACTTCGTTGGAAAGATGCCATGGGCGGGCTCTGGGGAATGGGCCCTCTAGAGGGTGCTGGCTCTGATCCAGCCCCTGGGTGGTTGGACGAGGGCTGCGGGGAGAGAGAACTGGCTGGCTCTGTTGGCTGTGGGGGAAGGGTGGAGAATTGGATCTGGCACATTTGATGTTTCCATGGAATCTGCTGATAAAAACCAGGCTCTGGACTATTGGCAGGACACGGGCGCAGAAGGGGGTCCTGGGCCAAATCCTCACCTGATGTAAATCGGTGTTAATCTATTCAAGGGACTGCAGAGGGGCTGGGGATTTGGGTCGTTGACTGCAACGGAGTGACACCCCTTTGCACTAGCTGGAGATCTGGCCCCGCAGATTCCAGCGGAGCCAGATTGATCTACATCAGCTGGGGCTCTGGGGCTCAGGTTTATTGGGGTGCGGGGACGTACTCCAGGGTCAAATGAAGACTGGCTCCAAAGAGACATCAAAAATACCAAATGCTTGAAAAATGCTCAGTCTTTCCCTTGAATGAATCTTGAACAGCTGGCATTTCTCATTTTAAAAACATACCGTAAATTAAGTATTGAACGGCATTACCAAGTGCACCAGGCTTAAGGTAGCATTCTGTATTTTGCTACATGCAATGTCTTATTTACCATACATCAGACAAGAAGTTTGATATATAGCTTTGATAACGAAGGTGAAAAATTGTTCCCTTAAACACAAAATATATCTGGAAGACTTTACCTCTACGGGAAGCACAAATTCCCACTATGTACGTTTACAAGTATGGGTTTTGGTAGTAAACGATATCTACAAAGAACCCCAGGAGCATGTTTTTGATATTAATAACCAACTTTTCAGTTTCTTTTGAATAAATGTGGATGGGGGAAGGATTTGACTGGTCTTAACCACCCCATTTTTAAACTTTAAATGGTCAGCCTATGGATGCAAACAGAGATATTACAATGAGATGTGTATATCTCTTGGATCTATAAAAGCCTTCCTCTTTTATAGATGGGGCAGGGGTCACTTGCTGGAGGATTCTCTGCACCTTGAAGTCTTTAAACCACGATTTGAGGACTTCTATGGCTCAGATATAGGTCAGGGGTTTGTTACAGGAGTGGGTGAGATTCTGTGCCCTGCGTTGTGCAGGAGGTCGGACTAGATGATCATAACGGTCCCTTCTGACCTTAAAGTCTATGATTGCGACATCAACATAGAAAATGTGGAGTCCAGAGAGCCGCGACCTCCCCCCGCGCGCAGTTGTCTGGAGTCAGAAGGGATCTGATGGTGAATGCAAGAAACTGACGAGGATGCTGCCTCTCCCTTTCCACAGTCTCCGCTCTCCATCCATGCTCCCTCTCCGGCGTTATCCACCTATCCTCCACTCTGAGGTCCCTTCCAAGTCGCCCACGCCACGTTCCCTCCGGACGGCTGGTTACGGCCCTGCGATCCTGCGGCGGGAACGTGGCTGGGACGCCGGAGACCTTGGCTTTCTTTATGTCTTGGCCACTGGCCTGCGGGGTGACCTTGGCCAGGTCCCGTCCCTGCTCCGTGCCTCAGTTTCCCCATTTGACAGATGAGACCTCCTTTGTAAAGTGCTTTGAGACCCAGTGGTGAAAAGAGCCAGGGATTGTTATTAGCTATCCCTCCATCCACATAACCCCCCCCTCCCTCCCCATATACACCCATCCATTGAGCTCTCCCCTCATACACACCCTCTGTCTCTCTCCCCCATACACCCCCTCTACCCCCGCATGCACCCCTCTCGATCCCTCTCTCCCCCCTTCCACACACCCCTCTCGATCCCTCCCCCCATGCACCCCCTCCACCCCCGCACACACCCCTCTCGATCCCTCTCTCCCCCCATGCACCCCCTCCACCCCGCTCTGGGTGCCCCCTCCCTGGCTGCGCGGCAGTTCGAGCCCCCGCGCCCGGCCCAGGACGCGCTGGGGGCCAAGGGCCGCTGTCCCGAGGCTGAGGTTGGCAGCTGGTCCCCCCCCCCCCCCCCCCCAAGAAAAGGAAACAAGTGGGCGGTGGCTGCCCCGCCCCGGGCCGGCTCCTCCCCGCCCCGCAGCCGAGACAGGAGCAGAAGCTGCTTCCCAGCCGCCGCTGGAGAGTCCCGGGCTGAGCCGAGCCGGCGGCGTCTGCAGGACGCGGATCTCTGGGGATCCCACGCGGAGGCGTCTCATCCACAGGTGCCCTAGAGCCTGGGACAGAACCCAGGAGTCCTGGCTCCCAGCCCCCCACCCTGCTCTAACCACTAGACCCTGCTCCCTTCCCAGAGCCAGCGACAGAACCCAGGAGTCCTGGCTCCCAGCCCCCCACCCTGCTCTAACCACTAGACCCTGCTCCCTTCCCAGGGACAGAACCCAGGAGTCCTGGCTCCCAGCCCCCAACCCTGCTCTAACCACTAGACCCTGCTCCCTTCCCAGAGCCAGGGACAGAACCCAGGAGTCCTGGCTCCCAGCCCCCCACCCCTGCTCCCTTCCCAGAGCCAGGGATAGAACCCAGGAGTCCTGACTCCCAGACACCCCCCCGCTCTAACCCATTAGACCCCACTCCCCTCCCTGCGCTAGAAACCGAACCCAGGAGTCCTGCCCCGCCGATGCTCCTCCTGCAGAAGAGCCCGGGTCCCTTGGCGTCGTCCTCCCTGGGGCCCCTGGCCAACCTGTGCGCCAACACCACCCAGCTGCAGGAGGACGGCAGCCCGGTGATGAGCTCCTTGATGTTCTCCGCCGGCGTGGCCGGCAACGTGGTGGCGCTGGCCATCCTGGGCGTGCACCGCAAGGAGCTGCGTACCAAGTCCTCGGCCTTCTGCATCCTGGTGACTGGCCTGGCCGCCACCGACCTGCTGGGCACCTGCTTCCTCAGCCCCGTGGTCTTTGTCAGCTACGCCCGCAATGCCTCCCTGCTGGGCCTGGTGGAGGGCAGGCGGGGCCTGTGCCAGCTCTTCGCCTTTGCCATGACCTTCTTCGGCCTCGCCTCCATGCTCATCCTCTGCACCATGGCGGTGGAGCGGTGCCTGGCCATCAGCCACCCCTACTTCTACTCTCAACATAATGGGCGCGGCTGGGCCAAGCTGGCGCTGCCGGCCGTCTATGCTTTCAGCGCCCTCTTCTGCTGCTTGCCCTTCCTGGGCGTGGGACAGCACAAACAATACTGCCCCGGCACCTGGTGCTTCGTGGAGATGGCGACCAACCAGCCGGGCACCGCCGCCTTCTCGCTCACCTACGCCACCCTCATGGCCTTCCTCATCCTCGCCATCTTCCTCTGCAACGGCTCCGTCATCGTCAGCCTCTGCCAGATGTACCGCAAGCAGCGGGCCCGGCATGGGTCCCTGGGGCCGGCCCAGCGCCGCCGGAAAAGCTGGTTCAGCCAAGGCGACGAAGAGGTGGATCACCTGGTCCTGCTGGCCCTCATGACTATCATCTTCGTCATCTGCTCCCTGCCCCTCACGGTAAGTGCCGGCTCTGGGAGGAGAGCGGGTTCTAGTGGTTAGAGCACGGGTGGGGGGCTGGGAGCCAAGACTCCTGGGTTCTATCCCCTGCTCTGGGAAGGGACTGGGGTCTAGTGGTTAGAGCAGGGTGGAAGGGGACTGTGAATCCTTGGGACCCTGGAGGGCACTGGGGAGTCCGACCCCCTGGGTTGGGGAGGCTGTGGGTCATTAGGCTGAGGATGCCCCTAGGGAAGGTTGGGCGTGTGGGGAGACTGTGAGCCCGTTGGGGAGAGCTCCTGGGCTGGGGTCCGGGGAGTGGGCTTGGGGAGGCCATGAGTGGCTGGCCAGCGACTCCTGGCCAGGGCAGAGGATCCTGGCTGGCTGCCCCAGTATTTGCGGTGGCACTCGCTGGGATCAGAGCGGCTGAGGCCCCTCGTCCCACCAGCCCCCAGATCTGTCAAACACTCGATCCCTTCCGGCTGGGCTGCCTGGGCCAGGCTCCGAGCTGCTCTGGGCGTCCCTGGGCTCCCGTCCCCAGGGATGGGACACAGGGCCAAGACAAACACAGCTGGGCCCAGTTCCCAGGCTCTGTTTGCCCACAGGCCCAAGGTGCTTCTCGCCCCCTCTCTCCCCTGGCTTTCCGACATCACACTCCCTAGATAGGGACACTGCCCCGCTGGCACCCCCAGGCTTACCTGGGGGGAGGTTCTCAGGGATGTTATAGGCTCCTGCAGCGGGGGGGCGCGGGCGCGGATGGTCAGGGAGGTTCCTGAGGGGGTGGATCCATCGGGGAAGGGGGTTGTGACTCTTGTGAGGTGTTCTGTAGGCTCCTGGGGGTGTGTGTGGATCCACTGGGAGGTGGGGTTGTCAGGGATGCTGTAGGCTCCTGCGGGTGTATCCATTGGGGAGGTGGGCGGGGGGTGTGAGTGCTGAGTGTGGATCCGTTGTGGGGGTTGTCAGGGATGCTATAGACTCCTGGGAGGGTGGATCCCTCGTGTCTGTGTGTGTCAGGGATGATGTAGGTTCCTGGAGGGGACAGTGGGATTCTATCAGGAGGGGGGTTGTCAGAAAAGGACAGAAGAATCCCATGCAGTGCTACAGACTAGGGACCGAGTGGCTAGGCAGCAGTTCTGCAGAAAAGGACCTGGGGGTAACAGTGGACGAGAAGCTGGATATGAGTCAGCAGTGTGCCCTTGTTGCCAAGAAGACCAACGGCATTTTGGGCTGTATAAGTAGGGGCATTGCCAGCAGATCGAGGGACGTGATCATTCCCCTCTATTTGACATTGGTGAGGCCTCATCTGGAGTAATGTGTCCAGTTTTGGGCCCCACACTGCAAGAAGGATGTGGAAAAATTGGAAAGAGTCCAGCGGAGGGCAACAAAAATGATGAGGGGTCTGGAGCACATGACTTACGAGGAGAGGCTGAGGGAACTGGGGTTATTTAGTCTGCAGAAGCGAAGAGTGAGGGGGGATTTGATAGCAGCCTTCAACTACCTGAAGGGGGGATCCAAAGAGGATGGAGCTCGGCTGTTCTCAGTGGTGGCAGATGACAGAACCAGGAGTAATGGTCTCAAGTTGCAGTGGGGGAGGTCTTGGTTGGATATTAGGAAACACTTTCACTAGGAGGGTGGTGAAGCACTGGAATGGGTTACCTAGGGAGGTGGTGGAATCTCCTTCCTTAGAGATTTTTAAGGTCCGGCTTGACAAAGCCCTGGCTGGGATGATTTAGTTGGGGTTGGTCCTGCTTTGAGCAGGGGGTTGGACTAGATACCTCCTGAGGTCTCTTCTAACCCTGATAGTCTATGAAAGCTGTAGACTCTTGGTGGGGTGAATCCATTGCGTGGGGGTTGTCAGGGTGTGCGCGCGTGTGTGACAGGGACGCTGTAGGCTCCTGGGGGGGGAAGGGGGTCTGTCAGGAGGGGGTTTGTCAGGAATTCGATAGGTGCCAGGAGGGGTAGGTCTGTCGGGGAGGGGTTGTCAGGGAAGTTATAGATGCGGGGGGGGGGCCTAGAGAAGGAGCAGCAGGTGCTGTGGACAGCAGGAGACTGGGGAAGGGCCCTCATGGGCTCTTCATAAACCCAGGAATCCACCACCCCAGCACTGCAATGCAGCCACTTCTGGGGCGAGCCATGGTAGCCAATTAACACTGTCATCTATCCCCCTGCACACCCATCCATCCCTCATTCATTTATCTACCTGCCTAGATATATCCACCCCCATACACACCTCTCCGTCTGTCTGTCTCTTGCTAAGTGTATTTGTCCACCAAGGTACAAACAGAGGGGATATGATGGATGGGTGATTGATAATACTGCAGATGGATGGATGGATGGATGCCTTGAATTAAGATTTTTCGCATGTGTCTGCAGTTGAGGAGCTGTGTGAGAAGGCAGACCCATAAATGGAGACAGCCCAGGTTGCTTGACGCAGGCAGCGTCAGACCCATTGGAGTGTCCTCATTAGACTCCAGGGTTAACACCCAATGAGCAAATTGATACTAGAGACGTTCACCCCTTGTGGAGCCAGCGGCTCAGGCTGCCTGCAGACTCAGGCAGACCTCGCAGTCTCAAGTCACGCATGGGAAGTTTTCTTTGTCACCCTGCAGGCGAGGGGTGGCTGGGCTGTGATCCTTCTAAGCGGCATGGGGTAGATGCTGTGGTTCTCTCCCATGTGAGGCCCTTAAGACGCAGCCGACTGCACTGACAGCTTTGGTTCTGCTCCTTCTCTTTCCTGGGAATACAGGGGCGGGGGCGGCCGGGAGGGGGGCAGATTCCGGGCAGCTGAGACTCCCTGCTGCGTATCAGCAAATGACCGGAAATCAGGATTTACATCTTGGCATGAGCCTTTTCTGGGGAGGTGGGGGCGATTCTGTGATCCGCAGGGGAAAGGATCAGAGATTGCAGGTTCAAAATGGGGATGGGGCTTGTTTAAAATCCAGCAGAGGGAAGGGGAGACCTGGAGTATTTTCCTGATCTGTTCTGTTGAAATGTTACAGCAAACAGCTGTGGGTTGGGGGAGGAAAGTCCCATCTCCACTAAGAACCAAGCGGTTGCAACAGGAAGTTTCCAGGGGCGCCGGGATCCTGTGGCGCCAGGTGTCCCAGGCGCTGGGGACCAGGTCTTAGCTCGGGTCCAGCTGAGTTCACGCCACCTGCCGGGGTTTCCCTAGTGTGGCTGGGCTCTCCCACAATGCAATGCATCTCTCCGGGGCTACTACCCCCAAATCCCTTGGGCCTAGGTGCAGCTGGGATCCCAGAATGCACCAGTGCAGCCCCTGGTGAGAAGGCCTCTGTGCTGATTTGGGGGATGAGAGTCCGGGTCAAGAATCTGAAAGTGGGGGGTTGGGGGTGCTGTCCCCCTCCCAGCTCTTGCGGGGAGCATACGGGCCTGATCCCCTCCACAACTCCACCGACTTCAGTGGCGGCTCCTGTGTGGTGCTGAGGGGGCCGATATCAGGGTCATGCTCATGGGGGAGGCCCCAGTGCACACCGGATCCAGGAGTGAGTGCTGGTGCCAATGCCCTGGCATAGGCCCTCGTTGCCCACCGGATCCAGGGCTTCGAATCCTGCTGTGCTCCTGGTCTAACAATCAGAAAAGCAAACCCTGGGGGTGATTGCCAGGCAAACAAGCCGCTTATTGTTCCCGGATTGTTAAACCAACAGCGGGGCAGGAAGGCGCCGAGACTGGTTTGCAGAGAGCTCCGGGCTGCGGGGGAGCAGCGTGTAGGTTAGAACGGTGGTCCCCAACCTCGCTGGCCTGTCGCGACCCAGTGCAAAAATCACCTGGGAAAATATTTCTTGCGTATACACGCAGTGCACTGTGCAGACCGCAGCAGCATCTCCGGCGGCTCCCGTCCCATGGGGCGGGCTGGCGTGGCAATCTCTGGGGTGGCTGCGCTCCTCAGGTTTGGCCCAGCGCCCCCGCTCCCCCCCATGGGGCCGGTGGGTAAAGTTTGTGTGAGTGGCATCGTGAGCTGGCACATGGGGCCACAGTACCACTGGCTGCCCCCTGCCATCATGACGGAGGCTGGGCCATACTTCAGTGGCCCTGTGCACCAGGCTGGAGCAAGGAGCCGAACCTAGCCAGCCTGCGGGTGGGGTGAGCTCTGCAAACAGTCCCACAGGGCCTCCTGACTTGACACCCCTCCCTTGCGACCCTTTGATGTGTTCTGGGTCGCGACCCACAGGTTGGGTTCTGTCCCTAGCTCTGGGAGGGGAGTGGGGTCAAGGGTTAGAGCAGGGAGGGCCAGGAGCCAGGACTCCTGGGTTCTATCCCCAGCTCAAGGAAAGAGTGGGGCTCTAGTGGTTAGAGCAGGGGAGACTGGGAGCCAGGACTCCTGGGTTCTATCCCCAGCTCAAGGAAAGAGTGGGGCTCTAGTGGTTAGAGCAGGGGAGACTGAGAGCCAGGACTCCTGGGTTCTGTTCCCGGCTCTGCTGGGTGGCTTTCGGCAGGTCACTTCCCCATGCCTCCCCCCCCATTTATGAAACAGAGATGGCAAAGGAGTGGGGGCCCCTGACCTTTACAAAGTGAGCGAGGGCTCTGGGCTGAGAGATGGCACGTTAGTACAGAGTATTGTCCAACCCCATCCGCGTGTGTGTGTGACATCACTGTTGCTTCCTAGTGGATGAAATCAGAACTATTCATCCATGTATCATAGCCCCTGTACTGCTCCCAGCTGATGGTGATTTCCCTGTAGCTCAGGCACTGGACATTTGGGCTTTAGAAGCTGGTCTGATCGGCTGTAGCCAGGAAGGGCTGTGGGCTTGTTGCAGTGTTTGCTGTGGTCCCGGTGGCTCATGGGACTCCGTGGCCTTCCCTGAGGCACCTTGAGCAAATGCTGCCGTGGGGCATCTCGCTGAACGCGGCTCCTAACACATTCCTCGTCCTTCCAAACCCTCCCTGCTCTACCGCGCTTATCGGCCGCCCGGTGCTGATAGCGTGCATTGGCCGGCCCCACCCCATGTTTTCTTCACCTGTTTCAATATTGCCTTTCTGTCCTATCGCTTCCCCCGGCTAGCTCC